TACGCCTCGTTTGCACTGGCCATGCTATTCCCGAAAATTGAACTTAGCATACAAAGAGACTATGCAGCCGCAGTCATGATGCATGACCCTGCCAATATGGCACTTCTTCATGATGGCAAATTAGGAACTAGAAAATCACTAGGTGCTGTTCCTCATGACATTGGAATGAATGATCCGTGGTTTGAAGTAAACTTTTACAATCTCCATAACACGAATAGGTGGAAAGATTTGAATCCAAAGTTCGTTCTTCAAGTCTACAGGGATTTTATTGCCTCGGGTGATAAAAAGTTTGCAGAAGCGGTTTGGCCCGCTGTGTATATGGCGATTGCTTACATGGATCAGTTTGACAAAGATGGGGATGGGATGATTGAAAACGAAGGGTTTCCTGATCAGACATATGATGTGTGGTCTGTCTCTGGTGTGAGTGCATACTGTGGTGGGCTATGGGTTGCAGCATTGCAGGCTGCATCTGCATTGGCAGGGGAAGTGGGAGATAAGGGTTCTGAACAGTATTTTTTGTTTAAGTTCCAGAAGGCACAGAAAGTATATCAGAAGCTGTGGAATGGTTCTTACTTTGACTATGATGACTGTGGTGGTCGGGTCAGCTCATCCATTCAAGCTGATCAGTTGGCTGGACAGTGGTACTTTACTGGAAACTGATTGCATTTACATATTCTTTTATGTTAATGCATTTACATAGTGTTGGTTTGAGCGAAAAGTTTTTACATAGTGTCGGGAAGGATATTGGTGAGTTCCCCTTGTTTGGGTTAGAACGAACAAATAATGAGGATAAGGAAGTTTTAATATTTTCCCTTCCCCAGTCATCCTACCACTCCTCTCCAGAATTGGGGGAATTTGGAACGAAATGCATAACTTTTTTCTTGTGGACTACTGCCCTCTTGGTTGCAATCATATAGTTCATTTTCTGTTGTGTTGTATCACACATCTCTCTCATGACATCTCTTATCTGTTGATTATCTTATTATTATTTTAGAAACTTGTATACATGTTTATTTTAATTAAATGTTTCAAAAAGATTATTGATAGTAAAATGTATAGTAAGTATTTATAAAAACAAGTGATATGTTTAAATACTTACCAGATGTGTTTGTTTAAACGCGTTGTATTATTTTAAGTTGTTGATTGACTAAAATAGTTAATCTACTCTTATAGTTAAAAAGGTAATTGGTCTATCTATCATTTTTAATGGTAAAATAGTTAATTTACTGTTAAATAAAATAAAGGCAGTTAGTCTATCTATCATTTTCTCTTTAATTTACCATCTTGTATCCAACAAGTTTTGCATTAGATTCCCATCACCCCCATTGAACCAACGCAATGTTAGTGAAAGAGGATAAGTGATAAGTAAACTATAAATGCCTTAAATTGTCTCTTGTTGCAGTTAATAGTTTTTGCATCACAGCAATATTGCAATTGATTGTTTGATACAATGTTCTTTATTTTTGTAGGTATGCTAGGGCATGTGGACTTGCACCGATTGTATATGAAGAACAAGCAAGAACTTCCCTTGAGACTGTATTTAAATTTAATGTTTCAAAGGTGAAGGAGGGAAGCAGAGGGGCGGTGAATGGTATGCAACCCAATGGTGAAGTTGACTTGTCATGCATGCAGGCAAGAGAAATCTGGCCTGGAGTTACTTATGCTGTTGCTGCAGGCATGATTCATGAAAACATGTTTGATTTAGCATTCAGAACTGCTGCTGGTGTCTATGAAACCGTTTGGTCTGAAAAAGGTTTTGGGTAAGTAAATAAATAACACTAGTCATCACTACAATGTTGCACACACACAAAAGTCATGAGTATGTTAATATATGGGAGAAGGTGCAAATATATGTGGGAGAAGGTGCCTCAGGTCTTTTTGGTTTGAGGTAATAGGGAGGATAGGAAGGGAGAGATAATCAAGAGATACATGTGGGGTTTCTCTCGTGTGGTTAGGAGGGAAATGGTCGTCACCAATTTTATTTCTTCTCCCTCTTTGAGAGAAACAGGGGAGAAATACATTTCTTTTCAACTTTTACTTATTTCTTTCCCATTTCTCTCTTACATATGAACATCAAAATTAACTCTGTTTTTCTACAATTTTTATCTTCTCCCTCTCTTTCTTAAACCATACTCAGTTCTCTATTTCTTCCCTAAGTTACAAAAGCTTACTTGTACCTCCAGTGCATATTGACCATTCATGTTTGCTTAGGTGCAAATATACTCCTTAACATATCCATCTAGATAGAGGTTGACCTTGATGTTTTCCTCCAACTTCAGACTGGCCTTGCATGCTGAAAATTTGTAAAAATAAAATTAATTAATTTAAATTATCACTTAGTGTCAACCTTACATTGTTTCTACAAATATTTAGAGTGATACTTTTTTCAGCATCATTGGATTTCTACACGTGCGATATCAAATTGACCATGTGTTTGTAATCTTTCATATTAAACAAATAATTTATATATAGAAATAATATAAAAGAAGTGTTTAACATAAATAAAAGATTTGCGCGTTGCAAAATTTTAAACACTAGACAATGTTTTCAATTTGTCATTTGTACATTCAATACTTCTGTTGTGGTTTTTAAGAAGAATTGTGGCAGCCTTGCACTTTTTTTTTAAACCCGGAAGGTAAACCATCATCGGTGGGGCAAATGTTGGGGAACATTTGTTGGGTTTTATTAAAATAGATAAAAAGATACATGGCACCCTTGCACTTATTGCAATGCTGGTGCTTTGCACTGAAATGATGCTGATATTAGAGGTGTTTCTTTTCTGCCATTTGTAGTTATGCTTTTCAAACACCAGAAGCTTGGACCATAGAGGGGCGGTATAGGTCTCTAGCCTACATGCGACCCTTGTCAATCTGGGCAATGCAATGGGCATTAACACAGCCAAAGCCTTCCAAGCAAGAAGTGATGCCCGAAATCACAGCAGTTTCGGTACATAGGCAACACACTGGTTTTCAGAGAGTCGCTCGTCTTCTCAAGCTGCCCGATGAGAGAGATACTAGAAGTGTGTTTCAGGTCCTTTTCGATTACACTTGTAAAAGAATGGTGACTTGAAAACAATAAGGACATGTTGAACAATTATTTTTAATTATTGCTGTGCATATGGCCATTTTTTTGCCATTAAAACAACAGAGCTGTTAAATATTCTTTTTTTCTTTTTGTTTGTGTATAACAGATAACCATGTAATACTTTGCTGGGTAATATAATTTTTCATTTCCCTTTTGTACTCCAATTTATTGTATCATTTATTTTCCACCTTTAGTAATTAAGTTATTCTCGAAGTGGCGATTTTCATCTTGGCATTATTGGATGTTATTAACTTATTATTCTTTTTTCTATTGAATTTATGCTATGTGAGCAGACTCTTGACTTCACAGGGAACCTCAAAATTTGAGAAAATTGACTTCCTCTTTTATCCAAGCGCGGAGTATAATATATACCGTAGCTTCATTAAACTTCTTCGTCTCCAAAATGTTTGTTTTTGGTGATTTTATTATTTCCTTTTTTGAAATTTGAACTGGATCGTACTGAATGCCTTTATTGGTCTGGAACTCTGGAAGCATAGAACGTATTGGTGTTTGTTACTAACCTTACTATGCTATGCAATTATGGTAGTGTCTTTTTCCCTTTTTGGTTCTTTAAAGTTTCAAATGTTGATCGTTGAGGTTAAATCACGTAGATCCGAAAGCTCAACACAAACTTTGGATATTTCAGGAAATGAGTAATAAATAAGTGTATAAGAAAATATAAAAGTTGGATAATGATATGCTCAAGAAGTCACTTGTATTAGACAATTCGCTCATTACACAGGAAACTTTCCGAACGGTATGTCGGTACGTCAGAATAGTGATTAATACAAGAACAAGAGTAATAAAGCTATTCTAGACCTTGAGTATCAAAATGCTAACTCTTTACAATGAGATTAACCTTTCTATTTATACTAATGGAGGGTATGTGGTGCTCTATGCTGATTGGTTGCTAATTCCGCCCTTGGAATGCCCATATTCTCCACTTGTTGATGTCCCACTCTAGCATTTAATGCGTCTGGCCACTTGCCAGTTGTCCGTTTTCCGATCAGAGCGATGGTTCATGCTGAAAACATTGCTGATTTCCCAAGTACCCTGGTTGACCCGATCTCCGTTCGGTACATATTTCTCGTTGGACCCGCTCTTCGTCTGGATTCCGGGCTAACTGTTTGGACTGGATATTCTGGGGCCCTTGATCCAGGTATTGGGCCTTCGACCCAATATCCCAACATTGATTAATACTTTCGTCCCGGCTTAAGGTTCTCATTGAAAATGACAAAATGACACGATTGTTTAGATAATACTTAAATAAGACAATTTTAATGTATTTTGAGAAGTGATTTTGGTGGGTCCATGATTATTTAGATAATACTTAAATAAGACAATTTTAATGTATTTTGATAATTGTGATGTAATAAGTATATTATTTTTAATACTTACTGATTAATTTGTTATTTAAGCGTGCTAAATATTTTCTAAAATAGGAATGTGAATCTTTAGACATTCAAAAAAGCAAGAATCTTTACATGTGACCAATCGAGTAATACTTTTCTTGATAATACAATTTTGTTTTTTCATTCGATATCACCTTCTTGCGTTCCTATCCTTTCTTTTCTGTTTGCAAAAAGACAGATTGCAGAAAACATTGTTTTGAAAGGGATCTTCAATTTAAGTTCCATGAAAATGAAAGGTAGTAATCACCGTAACACCCTTTCCCTAACAGACCAAAGGGTTTTTTCTAAACTGAACCTATTTTAAAATAAAAATAATAATTATAATACATAAATAATAAATTGACCCTGCAGCGAGTGCAGTCTATAAAGGTAACTTCCTTTTATGATGGCAGTTAATTTCATTCAATTCGTAGGTTTTGAATTTAACAGAAACCAGAACCTTACGCCTCCCTCAAGTCTTGGAGAACCAACCAACTTTTCATATATATAAATAAAATATAAATTCATCACTTCTGTTTTTTTTTCATTTCCATATTTTCCCTGAAAAGAAGAAGAGAGGAGGGAGACACACCATTTGTCTACTGCCCATTCTTCATCAAGGGTTCGATTAATAGGGGCGGTTTTCCTTTCGGGGGGAACCGCTCTTTTGATTGTCTTTCCATTTGATCTGTTTGTAGTTCAGTGTAGTTAAGAAATATTCATTTCCCACCAAGCATTTCTGCCTGCATTTTTATGGTGAGAAATGCAAGAAAGATCTACAGTTTTGTGATTTGCTTTTATACACTTCCAAAAAAAACAATTGAATTACTTGTGCATGTTTCATGACATTTTGTTACTGTTTTTTGCAGGTTTAAAGACACAGGAAAGAAAAAACTTGGGAACTTTTCCTACTGAATCAGCGTTTAACCTCGAATCAAGAATAATCAACCCGCGTTACATGAAGAATTTAGGTTACCAGACAAGAAACAATAAGACATGTCATCAGGAAATTGCTCCTCTAGGCCGTGTTTATATCAAGGGCCTGTCGAATGGGTGAAAGGGAAGGCGGTTGGGTGTGGGTCCCACGGCAACATTCATCTGGCATTGAACAAGTCCACCGGGAGCCTTTTCGTCATAAAATCCGCAGAGTCAAAGTCGGGAATCCAATGCCTAGAGAACGAAGCACAGATTCTAGAGTCCCTGGATTCCCCTCACATTGTGAAGTGTTTGGGAAAGGAAGTCTCTAATGGAACACATGAACTGAACCTCTTCATGGAGTACATGGCGGGTGGGAGTTTAGCAGACGTAATGGATCAATTCGGGGGCAAATTGGACGAAACTGTCATCCGTTTGTACACAAGAGAGATCCTATTGGGGCTCAAATATCTCCATGGGAATGGGATTGTGCATTGTGATCTCAAGTGTAAGAACGTCCTCTTAGGATCATCTGGGGAACTCAAGCTGGCCGATTTCGGTCTATCCCAGAGAACAACAAGGGATTCCCTTCGTTTCCCGCCTTTTTTAGGCGGGAGGGAATCTATTCGTTTCCTGCCATTTTTTGGCGGGAGTCCTCTATGGATGGCACCAGAGGCGCTGAGGAATGAAGGAATTTGTTGTGCTTCTGATATTTGGTCATTAGGATGCACGGTCATAGAAATGGCGACCGGGCAGCTCCCTTGGGCAGGGAAAATCTCAAACAATCCAACCGCAGCACTTCTCAGAATTGCTTGCAGTGAAGATAAGCCTAATTTCCCAACACATTTCTCAAAAGAAGGTTTGGACTTTTTGGAGAAGTGTTTGGATAGGGATCCAAGAAGGAGATGGAAGGCCGAAGAATTGCTTCACCATCCGTTTGTTTCCCCGAAATCAAAGGTCAATGTTGAATGTACTTCTTCTCCTTATTCTTCTTCATCACCAGCAAGTGTTCTGGACAAAAGTGTCTTCCCAGAAGATGAAGATGAGCCCTCTCCTCATGTTAAAATTCCATTCTCAATTCTGTGTGAGAAGATTAAGTTTGAAGAAGAGGAACAAAGTGAAGAATGGATCACAGTGAGATGAGGAGTTGTGAGTGGACAAAACTAATAAAAAGATCTTAGATTACATTGTGTTGGTTAGTTGTTTTGAAACAAAGACAGAGGAATGTGAGTAGAAACATAGGTTTGAAATGCTACACTTTGCTGTCACTTTCTAGTGGACACATACAGCTTTGTGTATGGGGTGATAGGGATATACACATTACCCTGAACTACATATGGTATTTTGGTTAGAAATATGTGTATAAGAAAACAAAATTAGCTGATGGAAAACTTTACTCTGAGTCCTTGTCTTGAGTGTACTATGTGCTTGTTGAGAAAACCTCATACACCATTTATATTTGCAGTCACATTTGAAAAAAGGTGATGATTGTCACTAATAACTATCAAAATAAGATGTGAAGACTATGCCATCACACATTGTAAGAGAGTTGCATTTAATTCCTTACAATTCAATGTCGCATAATTTGACCCCTATTTAGAATTAGAATGTATGAAGTTAGGTTTATTAGTTTCAACACAAGTATTCTCATACACGCAGACACTTTTAAATCCCAATGTTATTGCTATTTCAAAAATATCAAATTGGATTGAAACTTCATATCTCTGACCACAAACTGGACATAAAAAAACATAATGCTGAAATGGAATGTTCGGACCAAATTGCATTGCATTGCACAAAGTGCTTTCTTTTAGTTTTTTGTGTCGATCAAAATGTTATGTTGGTTGTGTTTTTATTTTACTTCTGTCAGACTCTAGAATTTGTATCGGATTATGGAAAATCTATTTTGACCACCTTTGACTCAGTTATGCCCATTATAGGATCAAAGAGTCATATTGTCTTTTATAAAATGATTCTCTGAGTCTGATTCGAGCGATGGCGATTGGGAGAGGACTTTTTGTTGTTTTGTTACTTGCACAAGTTCTGATTATTTAATATAAACCACTTTCTTTCAAAAAAAATGTTAAGCTAATGTGCACAATTCTTTGTAGTTGCAATTCATGAAAAAGATTCTCTATCCCTACTAAATGTTAAGTCACAAATTTTATAGGCACAACCATGCAAAAACTAATAGTGTGTTAATGTTCACACTCTACTTCCTTTTTACTTTCTCTAGAATAGTGAAGTGCGCAAATTTGTAAGAAATAATACTAAGAGTTCGTTTGGTGACACTGTTTTTCAGCATATGAGACTTATTAGCCAACTTTCAAACACGTAACTTTTGAATTCGTGCCCTGAATTGTGTAATAATAATAAAAAGTAAGGTTAAAGTTACTTTTCTGACTGTATTGACTGAAGTTACTGTAAATAACCACTTTAGCTATTTTTCATACAATTTTTTCTTTATTTTATTTATAGAATATATTTTAAATATAATTTATTCATAAATTAGCAGAATCAGCCAATACAGTCACTTCAGCCACAACTTCATAAATTTCAACAGAATCAACCGATTCAACCGATTTCAATGTTACCAAACGAACTCTAAAATTAAAATTCAACATGAGAGCTTTTGTGAAAAGAAAAATGAGACTTTTATTTTGGTACACCCCAAACCTAAACTAAAAAATAGAACTTTTATTTTGGGTGGGAGTCTAGGATGGAGTATTTTTAAAAGGGAAAATGGAAACTAATAATCCAACCTTTTAGCGGTCTTCTTACAATAGTCTCATCTTTTCATTACTCATTAATAATCCAACTTTTGCACCTCATCTTCATTCACTGGTCCCTGACCGATTTATGACCTGTTATTCCAAGTTATTTTCTGATCTTTGTAAAACATTATATCATAATTCACACCTTATGATCACATAATGTTTTGCAAAGATAAGAAAATAACGTGGAATAACAGGTCATAAATCGGTTAGGGACCAGTGAATGAAGATTGGGTGCAAAGCCGCAAAGGTTGTATTATTAATGAATAATGAAAATGTGAGACTATTGTAAGAAAATCGCTAAAAAGTTGGATTATTAGTTTCCATTTTCCCTTTTTAAAAAAATTCCATCCGAGTTACTCCCTCCGTCCCGGAATTATGTTCATACTTTCCTTTTCGGCTCATCCCAAATTTATCTCCTTTTTCCCTTTTTGGTAAAAAATATGTGATTCACAACCATTCTTACGCATTTCTCTTTCCTCTTTCCTCTGCATAACTCTCTACTACACAAATCTCACCATTTTAAAACACGTGCCCGGTCAAAACCGGAGTTAAATATGAGATGGAGGGAGTACAAACAAACGTAGTAAAAAAATGAGTTTTTTCCCTCAATATTATCAATTTAAAGTTGATTTCCAAAAATGTGACCATTTTTTTAAAAGGACAAAAATGTGACTAAGAAGGTCAGATATTTGGAAAAGTATTATATCACTGTATTTTTATGTCACTGCAAGATTATTATGTCACTATTCAAATGTCACTCTGACCACCGCCTATGTCACTGTGCCGCCGCTCATGTCACTACTGCCACCGCACTTGTCACTGACACCACCGCCGTTGCTCCGAGCACAATGACTCCGGTCACAGTGACTCCGTCCACAGTGACTCCGGCCACCCTACCTCAGTGACTGCTCGTCCATTGGCCGTCGTCGTCACCACCGCAACAGTCACTTCGTCCGCCGGTGACTGCGACGTCTCAGTGACTCTGCCCGTCAGTGACTGCGCCGCCACGGTGACTCCACACGCCAGTGACTGCCGCCACCCCATCTTTGACCGAAGTCAACGAACCACAGTCTCCATCTTTGAGGAGGAACAATCTCAGTCAAAAAAAAATGATAATGAGCCTGGCCCGGCCCGGCCCAGACCCGAACCGGACCCGGTGGTTACCCGGGCCGGTCCCGGGTCCACCATTTCTGAACCACCAGCCCGCCCGGGCCTAGGCCCGACCCGGACCCGAGTCCATCCAGAAGTCAAACCAATCTCAAATAGCAATGGAACAATATTCTTTAACGACTTATTATTATTATTGGTGGTGTTGTTATTATTATAAATAATAGTCCGTATATGAAATGGCTCATTTTTTATTTGACTGGTTTCAAATTCTAACCAGACTTGAAGAATTCAAATAAGACATTTTTTTGAATCACATTTCATGGTTTTAAAATACATACGGAGTACTTGGTATAAAACAATGTCTACGAGATCAGAAAATTTTAATTCAACTAAACATCCTCGATCAACAATAACTGACCATTCACTATTGGTTTCAGTCCGTTTCACAAGTGACAAACTTCCACAAATTGATTCGTCTACACTCAACGACCCAAATAACAAATTAACAAAATTGAAGACATTGTTATATATTTACATGTTATAAAATTGAAGACACATATAATTGCACAATAAAAGGACAAATTCTTAACATGTTTGCAATATAACCAACCAAACAAATGTGAAGGACAAATTTGTAATCCACTTCACTATTAAGGAGCGACATTTACAAAAATTGAGATACAGGTCTACATTCAATATGGAGTATAATTGAGCGACTAAAAGTTCATTTTTTTTCTTTAACATTATATATACAACCAAAAAAGGCACAAGTATCACCACGAGGGATTTATACAAAATTAGCTCAATGATACAACGAAGAAATAGCAAAAAAAAACAGAACAAGTTTCTGTCCATCTTCCTCCCTTCCCTCCATTAGAGGCTACAGCCTAACTTCATCAATCTAATCTAAGGTTCAAACCAGACATCCCATCACACAAAAATCATACCTAATAATAATAATAATATAAAATAATATGCGATTCTAGGATCTTAATCGTTATCCAAATCGATATGGGACCCATCCTACATCGATGAGTTGCCATTTTATCCCAGCCATGTCCTTGCCGTGCCATGACTTGTAGCCAAAAACGAAAAATCACCAAAGATTGTAAAATTCAAGGCCTGTCTACCCCGATCCCACCCCACCCCCACCCCCAAAAAGAACCACTAATCTTGTAATTTTCACATAACAGCATTACCGCATGGTGACTAGCCTCACCTCCCTACATAAGTTCCTCGGTGCCAACGGACGAGTCAGAAACTGGTTTGCGTGACTTAGCTTCACAGAGGGGAAGCTTAATTTTAGGTGAGAGCATTTTTGCTTCTTCAATGGTGAAGATATTTATTTTCCTGACCATGTTGCAGAATTCACTGCACAAGAATACCAATTGGGATTAAATTAATGCAAACACACATACGTAATAAAGTAATGAAAAGAAGGAAATGTCTCAACTGCCATGGATCATCTCCAACCATCATAACATCATCCTCATCATCGGTGTAGACAACCTGCCATTTATTGATTGAGGATCCACACAGTTCACCTTCAATCTCAAACATTTCTTCAAATTTCTTGAGCAGATCATCATACCCATCAAACCGTGTAAGATCTACAGCTCTCCCAACTGCCTTCCCTTGCATGTGAACCTATAAATAAATCATTCACCAAAAACTTTGGTCAAAAGGTCAGCTGATCAGCATACTTTGAAACACCAATGGGAAGAAACTGCATGATTAACAACCCCTACACTGACACGCTATTGAGCCACTTCTGAAGTCTCAAAAAGTGTCAGCTTCATCAAACTTGTAAGGTACAACTTGTAAGGTACAGTCTTGTACATTACAAAAACTTGTAATGTTAAAATCTATTCACTTTTGTACTAAACTTATTGGACTTGTTTGGAACATTTCTTTTGGGAAAATTTATGTAAAATTTAAATTAAAAGCTTTTTTCATACAACTCTTTTGTAGGAGAAATAAGTTCTGCAACATGACTGTTTTGGAGGGAGTATAAATTTGTTTTTTTCCATACTAAATTCAATATGCTTAACTTGTTCGGAACACATCATTTTGAGAAAAATAACAGTAGATATTAATGAAAAATACATTAGATTTAATGAAAATTAGATTCTATTGATCAAATATGACTTGTTAACGTGATTTTTTTTGGGGGGGGTATGACTTGCCTACAAAATTTGACTTGGGGTTATAAAATACCACATTATTCCAAGTACAGTTGAGCAGACTCTATTGACTATAGAATACCTTGGTACAGCTTCTAGTTTGCTTGCTCTGTGACTCATGGGGAGACCTCATAGGTGATTTTTCATGGACAAAGCTGATTTCAGGAGCTTCAGATCGACTGGGGTTCGACCGTTCAGAATGCTGGTCAGATTCAGCATCTAAACATAGAGTCGGACAATCTTCTGTCATGGTCCGAGGGGCAGAAACAAAAGTTTCTCCAATGGTTGTATGGTCCATCAACTCAATCCCAAACAGTCTATAGCCATTGGATTGCTTCTTTTCACTGACAGGGGCAATATAGTCTTTTTCAAGATGACTAGAACATTGCATTGGTTTACTGGAACCAGTCTCGCCTGCCCGTGAACCGCATGTGAGTTTAGCGGAAGGTGGGAAGTGGTCTGTCCCACGGGATGTCTCACAGTATGAGAATGATGAGGGAGAATCAGAAGGCGGTTTCCACGTACCTATAATATAATTGCCATGAGAAGATGTAAAAATATAAAGAACAGTGTAGAACCCGGAAAAAGGTAGGTAAAAGGGAGAGAAATGCCAAGGAAAATGATTTTTTTAATTTCACCTTTACATGGGAAAATACACGGGAAAATCAAAATTTTTAAGATTTTACATTTATTTAGATTTCTCAGTCTTTATATGATACAAATATTAAGATTAATTGAGTTTGAAGAAATCCCAATGATCAATCTATTGAGAGTTCAAACAAATCTTTATTTTCCCCAAAAAATATATCCCTTCTTATTTTCCCCATCACATCCTCTCTATTTCCCTTCTTATTTTCTTCCCCTAACCTATTGTGGATTTCAAAAGGCCTACAGCATGAGGAAAAAGAAGGTATACTCAAGCACACAAAAATTATCTTGGGTATTTTCCTTCATATTTCCTTTGCATTTTCTGAGGTATAAACAAACATAAGAAAATAATGTGTGGCATTTATTTTCCTTTCCTTGTCATTTTATGGTATCCAAACGCGCCCTAAAAGAAAAGTCTTCTACATACCTATTGAAGAAAACTCAGGTACAGGCGGAGGTAGAGCTGGTGGGCGTGAGCGTTTGTTCCTTTGGGGAAGCTGGGGCATTTGAGGTGATAAAGTGACAAGTGGTTCAATCTCCCAAGGTGAAACCCTATCAGGGCGCGTGGTTGAAGATGGTTCATCCCATTGAACCTGAAAATTTATAATAACAATGTGGCTATCAAATGGTATAAAATTAATGTAGATACCAGTTGGAAAACGTCACATAAGTAATCAGTGGAACTCCAAAATAGATAGTGTATCATATTCAAGATCAAGTGTACTAACCTTCAGCGATCTCCATTTAGAATCAGGCCATCTAGATGGCATGTCATCCTCAAGGCCAATGATGGTCCCACTAAATCTGTGAAATTAAAGGGTAAAAAAGTAGGGTGTGCGTTTGAGACCCTCATGCTCAAAAGCAAATTTCAGATGCATAATATCAACATAGCTGTAGAGTTGTAGTCAATAATGACTGATATACCTTCTTTCTGGGACTTCCTCACCCTCAAACCTCATCTTAAACCTCATCCCAACAGAGAGCTTGTGATTTTGTGCTTCAATATATTTGTTTACGCTCACAATAAACTCAGACCGACTTGTCCTAAAAAACATGTTAGAATAACATCAAGTCTAAAAACAGGGAGGCAATATAGTTGGTCTAAGCCTGAGAAATTTACTATTTCTGTCCAAGAAAGAATTACTTTTTCACTTTTGCCCTTATTATATTTATATATCAATTTTTTATCATATTTGAATTTGTCTTTTGCAGTTCAATAGAATATTAGTGTACTTTCTAAATATGTATTTTAAAATATCAATTTTAACTTCAATACTACTAGGGGATAGATGACTTATCATCAGTCAAAAATAGTTAATAGACATAGGAACTTGATTTTGGGACTGATGAAGTAATAATACACTCTAAGGTGGGGGATAAAAGTCAGGCTAAAATGCAGTATAATTATTTTTTATATTTGTTGATAAAACTTTTAGTTTTCTATGTCCATCATATAAAAAATAGCATCAAACAACAACATCCAACCCTTAGTCCCGAAATAGTTTGGGGTTGGCAAACATGTATCAACATATGAATTCGGAGCATAAAGAAAAACATATATACAACAACATCCAAGCCTTAGTTCCAAAAGAGTTTGGGGTCGGCTAACATGAAATCGGAGCAAAAAAGATACTCCCTCCGTCCCTAATAACTTTGCCAAGTTTGACCGGCACGGGAAATAATAAAGTAAAAACTGTGTGGTTGAAGTTTGTGCAGAAGAGAGAGAATGAACTGGAACCACAAATTCTTTACTTAAAAGGGAAAGTGGCAAAGTTAGTGGGACATCCAAAAAAGGAAAGTTGGCAAAGTTATAAGGGACGGAGGAAGTAGAAAAGATAAATAAAAAAAGATAAGATAAAAAATGAAAAGATAAGATAAAAAAGATAAAAAAAGATAACTAATGATAAGATAAAGATAAAGAGTACATAAGATAAAAAGGATAAAAAGAGTAACATATATAAATAAACCTAAATTTGCAACAACAAAAAACTTCATTTTCATCTTCACTTTCCCATGTTAAACTAAACTACCAAACATAAAAAAAAACTTGGCATTTTTACCTTATCCTAGCATTTTCTGTGATCCATATCTACCTAATTGATTCTCTATTAGAGAATAAAAGTGTCCTAAATCACAAGGAACCCACCCTAATGTATATGCCAATCACATTAAATCAAATAACTTTGATGGCAGACAAGTTACAAAAGCTTTAAGTACAACAATTCATTTTGTTGTTCATTATAATACTAAAAGTACCCAAAAAAGAAATTACTACAATCGATGGAACGCTGCAGAAAAAACTACAAACCTTGGCCTGTAAAAAACGGAGAAAAGGGTACCAGTTGAGATGGCATGTGATGCAGTAGCTAGAACTCCCAGATGCATACTGTGACTTGATATAACAGAAGATGGCATATTGTTCAGCTGTCTCATTAGCCTTCTTACTCCAACCCGGAGCTCCCCATTTTCTCCCCTGCAAAAAACAGCAGATTAGAAGATGTGACCATTGGTTATGATATGGTTAAGGCAAGGTAATGGTTTGCCAGGAGGAGAAAATAATGTGTAGCAATGTTACTTGCCTGAGGAAGATGAAAGCATCTCCAGCAACTAATTTCTTGGCACTAACAAAAACACTCCACCCTGTTGTGAGCAAGTGACGCCTAGGTTGGCCTGAAATGAGAGGGACATTGCACAACAGTTTAAACAAGTAGATAGTTAGGTACTTGTTTCATAATTTGTGCAAATGATTAAAACTGAATGAGAAGAGAAAAGATACTTGCTAGATGCATTTCTTTTGATGAACTTTAAATATTTTCTTCTAAATTCTACAAACAACTATACTTTCTTGTTGGCATGGTTACAACTCTACGTACAGCTGTTGTTATTATTAATTATTATTATTACTACTACTATTATATTATAAGAAATTATCCTAAACAGGACTAAAACTTTTACGAATTCCAAAAAATAGGACTACTATGTTTTAGTTCCCTAAATAATAGTAATTACTGCCATGTTTTGGCATTACCAGGATTTAAACATCACATTATTTTCCAAGCTTGACAATAATTACTTCTATTTAGCGAATAAAAACATAGCACTCCTATTTTGGAATTCCAAAACATTTTTACTCCTATTTCGGGAATTCTCCCTTATATTATTATTATAACCGTTAGATTGTTAACATATAATGGTGACTTTTACTGTGGCTGTTAATTGGTGATAAATTAACATTTAGTGGGTCGGCTAAAGTATTAGAATTTAGCCTTCATTTGAAACATATGTAATAATTATCATCTCGTTTAAAAATTTTGTGATCATTACTATTCATTTATTCCTGAGTTGATCACAACCCCTGACCTCGAAAAATATGACGGAAGTGCCATTCACTGCCATGAAGATCTGTAGCGACTAACTCCTGCCATGGTGGCTGTTGAGACATATCCTGGACATCAAACAAAAAAATTAAAAAGCAAAAACCACTGCAAGAAAAATACTTCATGTAGGAGCTTCTTGAGAACATTAAAAGGATAAGCACATAGCAACTTTCAAGCACGAGTCAGGATACCAAAGGGGGTAAACATTCATCAGCATGCCTCCGAAGAACAGAGAATCCACCATGGGTGCTTGTATCAGATGCAGTGAGCGTCTTGCAAAACGAGTGGGCGTTACATTGCTCTGGTTCAGGCAGCGGAGGATCGGGGCTTGTAATTTCACTTTGCTGTTATCAGAGAATAGAATGGAGAGAACAGACATTTTAATTTCTCACAGAAAGAAACTGCATGAGCACTGTAAGGGTATATTTAAAGCGAAGAATTAGTACAGAAAGTGGGTAAATTGCCGAGGAAATTAGCTTTGTTATGTTAAGCTACCTTGAAAAATGTGAAGGAAATTCAAACTTGAATATGATAGGAATATGTATAAGAAAATGTGGTGTGGATGGTATCTAAAATATTTGTTGAAAACTTGAATGTGAACCAAAATTTCATTTTCCTCTGAATTCTATTTAACTGGTATTTCCCAGGTTCCAAGCAGGTCCTTTTAGCAATAAGGGAGTAAAACTCACATCTGTTTCAGGAAGCAGAGTTATTTGAGCATACACCTCATCTGTCTCAGGTTCAGCCTACACCAAAGGCATGCACACAAAGTTAATTGAGTTGTAGGAGAAAGCACTCAATAGGAAGTGTCAATAAACTTACCCGAAGAAAAACATTCATTACTTTGCACAGAATTTTATCCGGCAAGTTAAATGAAGGAAGCTGCTGATCCAGCCCCTGATGGGTTGATGCTTCAAGCTATAACAAAGTGAAAAAAGAAAGAAGTAATGAGTTGTAGATTCTACTGTTGTGAGTGATATAAGGTAACAAAAGGTGCAGTGAGGAAAACCCGTTGATTCCATACTAGCACGAGAGTTTAGAACACCAGACATGAAACCTGAACTTGTAAACTGGAAAACAAAACAATGAAAAGGATACCTGTTCCATATGACCTTGTGGAAAATAATAAACCCTTTCCCCTTCTCGCGGAAGTGTCACAAGTGGTCCAGCACAGGCATGCCAGAGTTCTTTGTACAAAGAATCATGTGATGACCCTGTAAAAGAAAAGGAGGGAAATTGCAAGGGCAGGGGAGGGGGTCAATTGGATAAAGAAAATTAAAACGGCAGGGAGAATAAAAATTATATGATGGCAGAAAAGTTAAATCCGCTATTCTCCTCACTGCAATTTTAAAATAAGTAACTGTGTTTTGATATGATCATATGAGGAATGAGATTATCTCAAGAATCGTGAATGACATGCATATTGGTTATTATATACACCGTATTTACATGCTTGAAGTAATTACATGTCAAATAAGCATGTCATGGAAAATTGCATTAAAAGACAGTGTAGATAATGATTGTGATTTCACAATCAATTATTATCATTAGATAAGAACAGGCAAGAAAAGAAGTCTAAAATACAATTTAAAGAAAAACTACGTCATGTTTGTATTAATGTTGACAAAAAAATTGAAGTATATGATCAGGTGTAGCCCAAGAAACATCTTTTAAGATCAAACTGATACTTATAATACAAAGTGTATGTGAGAATTCAAAGAATGAAGCAACTCAAACCTGGATAAGCCCCACCATTAAACTGACTTGCCATAATATGTGCCATTACGTTGAAAACCTGAAGTATTCCTAGTTCCTATGATAATATATCAACCAAATACCAAATCTTCGCCTGTACCAGGAAGAAATAGATCTGCTTGATAAAAATCAAAAAATAAGATAATCAGTATACTTAAATAAAGAAACTTCTAAATAAGCTACAAAGCACCATAAAACCCCGCCTAATTAGCTAATATTAATGCCCAAACCTACTTCGAATTTGCAATCATAAGTGAAACAAAGGTTTGGAAAATAGACCGGTCCTTCATAATTAAACCTCAAATTGCCACGCGAATTATGAAAATATACATATATCGGGAAATTCTATTAAAACTCATATGAAACCAGAACTAGATATGGAAAAAAATTATCAGATTCCCAATTAAAACGCCATGACAATTACAGAAATCACTAACACCAAATACGATTCAAACACAAGCGATGGGAGGCAGAAGAGTGTAAGTACAAGTAAAACCATCACCAAATCTGAAGATCAAAGCAGATAGAATAAGAAGTAAACAGGATCCACCAACTCCAGATCACTATGAGTCCAACCCATATATACACACGCGTATAAGAGACTTTAATGTCTTTAGACTTATAAAAGGCATGTGCTTCTGTCAGGAAACTCGGAGAACCCGAAAATAATAAATCGAATCCCAAAATTAAATGAAAAAAAAGAACAAATCTTTACCTCAGGTATCCACGAAAATGCCAATGCTCCCCGCCGAAACGCTGGAAACCCCCTTCATTTCAACAGCTGGCTAGATGTGCTATCACGCTCGAGGATCCAGCTCCAATTGATCGATCAGTGTTCAGTAGTTACCAATAATTAGGGTTTTGATGAGGAAGAGTAAAGCTGCAAACTTTAGAGAGAGAAACGGTGTCAGAGAGAAAGATAATGGTTTTTGCCTGGTGGAAGCCGACAGTCGTTACAAAGGTTCTCACTCTAAAGTTGTGTGTTATATACCCATTCAGTATTTTACTTAATTTAACTAATAAATACAGCTGCAAAGCTACAGTACCTTGTTTCGCTTTTTCCCAATCACTCGTATTTTTCTGCTTTCCCTTTTGATATTGTTTGGTCAATAAATTTAGTACACTTTATTAAAATCGACAGGTAATGTTGCAATGTTCATTTTATGACAATTAAGCTGTCTTTAGGCGATGTTAAGCTCCATAATCATCTCCGAGTAACAAAACCCAAATTTCCACTTTTGTGTTTCTGTTTTTCGTTTTCCAATTTTCTGTTTTCATTTTCCAGTTTTTCTATCTCCAATTTTTTTTTTCATTTTTTAGTTTTCCAATTTCAAATACGAAAACATGTTCATACAATTTTTTGTTTTCTCAATTCTTTTCTCATTTCCCTATTGGTTGACAACTCAATGGTTCTTTTAAAACTATTCACTTAAAAGAATGATTTCAAAAAATTGAGACTGAACTGTCTGGTCATTGACCGACCTTGACAGGGACCGCCAGGTCGTTTACGGAACTGGCTCAGGACTGCCCGGTTGTTGACCGGACCAAACGAAGATCGTTGGGTTATTTGACATATAGGATGGAGATTGTCGGGTTATTGATCAGACAGGACGGGGACCATTGGGTGATTGACCGGACAGGACGGTGACCGTCGGGTCATTGACCAGACCAAACGGGGATCGCCGAGTCGTTGACTAGACCGGATCCGACCTTGTCGGCCCGACAATCGATCAAACCGAACAAGTACCGTCTGATCGTGGATCGGATATGACATGGGCCGTCGGGTCATCGACCAGACCGGACAGGGACCGCTAGGTCATGGGCCGGGCCGGACATGCACTGCTGAGTCATGGGCCAAAACGGACAGGGACCGCCGGATCATGGACCGGACCGGACAAGGACCATCGAGTCGTGGACCGGGCCAGATAGGGACCGCCGGTTTGTCGATCGGACCGAGACCATCGGATCGTCGACCGGATCGGACATGAACCATCGGGTCAATGATCGGACCAGACCACCGTGTTGTTGACCGGACAAAATAGGGATTGTCGGGTGTTTGACTGAATCAGACTGCAACTGGAACCGAGCGAGACCGAATCCAACACTAGGCGTAAGTATGCAAGCTCATTGCAGCGGCACTGCAGCATCCGCGTTTTCCAAATTTGGAAAACTAGTAAAAGTCACTTCTCCAATTCATTGAGGAAAATAGAGACATGTCTCGTTTTTTTGGTTTTGGAAAAAGATTTGGTAAACACGTTTTCTGTTTTCCTTTCTCCAGTTTTCCAGAATTTTTTTTGGTAAACACGTTTTCTGTTTTTTGTTTTTCAATTTTCCAGTTTTCTGAAAAACTGGAAAATATCTTTGTTAGTAAACAGACCCCAACTCTCTTATACGGAGTAGATGTTTAAAATCTCTAACATATTATAAGAGAGAATTTTGTTATGGGTTTAACGGTCATAAAAAAAACGTTGGTGTCTCTTGATGCATAAAGTGAGTGTACCTCATGTTTACTTTCTTGTACATCTGACCTCAATTGTAGCTTATGTTTTAACGGAAATGTAAACCAACGTTAAGCCATCCTTGTTGCCGTAAGATCTCCTCCCAGTTTTATTAGAGACTTAGGATGTTTTTACTTGGACTGTAATTTGCTGGTCTGGTCTGAACTGATCTAGTCTGGGTTTCGAGAATCAATTTCCCATTCACCCATTATCCGTTTTGAGTGTACCACATATTGAATTGTAGCCCTTAGCAGAGACAATCCGAAACCGCTTTGACCCGATCCAAATCGGAAGTGGACCCCATTCAAAAAATTGCCCCAAAATGACCATTTAATACAATTTATTAACACATCTTCCAACATATTTCATAAGTAACTCACACTATGGATATAAATTGTTTTGATATATTTGAGATTCCATCCAAGAGGTAGAACGTGTAATTTAGGATCTTAATATAGCATTTTATTAATTTATATTTTACCGGTGCGAGACTTCAAATAAATACCCGGATAAAATTGAAAATTGGTCAGGGCTTTAATGATTATTATTGTAGACATAATCACATAAACAAAGGATTGGATAATTAATAGTTGAGGTGGCTATTAACGTTAAAACTTAAAAAACTTATGTGTCCCTTTGTTCCTCCTTTAATGACTAGGACTTCAAAGCTTATGTACATGTATTATTATTATCAGTGAGTGGAAAAGAAGTGACATTGGATAATGATTTGGATGTAATGATTGGATGGAGGTTTGGCTGTTATGAAAGTTTAGTATTTTGATTCATTTTCTAATTGTGTGTTGGGCGATGGTGTGCAAGTTGGTTTATCTATAAGAGTTCAATTATTCAGCTTCATACATTTGTTATTTAGGACTTTGTGTATGTCTAATGGTCCAGAAAAACTGCAAACAAAATGTAGAAAACTGCACAAAGTAGCATAACAACACTACACAAAATGAGAACAGTTAAATACATTACAAATTTTACAAGAACATGTTAATTACTCAATACCTTGGTAGTGGTAGCAATGTTAATTTCTCTTGACTACTTACATGTTCTTGTATTATGGTCATACGTATTACAGTTCTGACACTTCTATAGAAGAGTATAATTGGGAGAATAATGGCTTACACTATTGGGTGCCTTAGTCTTGTATTTATAATAAAACAAAGTTATGAAATACTACAAAGTAATCCCTATTAAACTTCACACTTCCCTTTTTGGACCGTCCCATATTAAACTTTACACTTCCTTATTTGCCTTATTTGGCAAACAAATCTACACCAAACAGTGTTAAACAGTGCCAAACAGTGTCAAACAGTGTCAAACAGTGTACTCTAGAGTAAAGTCAAATTTATTTCTTTAATATGTGGGAAGTCAAAGTGTAACTTCATCAAGGACCGGAGGGAGTACATTATTACACCCCCCTCAATTTGTGCAGGGGAAATCACGTGCAAATTGGAACGTAAAAACTCAAATCGCTGACTAGACAAGTTCTTGGTGAAGATATCCGCCAATTGTAACTGAGTAGGAATATGCTTCACCACAAGATCTCCATGTGCTACTCATTCACGAACAAAATGGTAGTCAATTTTAATGTGCTTATTCCGATCATGTTGAATGGGATTAACCGCCAAGTAAGAGGCTGAGACATTATCACAAAGGAGCTGCACTGGGGCCGAAATAAAAATACCCATATCTGCCAGAAGTGATCTGATTAAGAGCGTTTCCTGGATAGTATAAGAAATGGCCTTGTATTCGGCCTCAGTAGAGGATTTGGACACCGTCGGTTGTTTCTTGGAGCGCCATGAAATCAAATTGGATCCCAGAAACACCGCATAGCCCATAGTAGACCACGAGCTATCTGGACATCCTACCCCATCCTGCCGTAACCACGGAAATATTTTTATCAGCTCGTAATCAAAGGCCATGAGTGCTTGTGCCCTGCAAATACTTGTAAATCCTCTTAACAGCCAAAAGGTGAGTAGTACGTGGAGCATGCATAAACTGGGACACAAGGGTCAAGGTGTACAACATAAGTAATATCAGGTCTAGTAATGGTAAGATACCGAAGAGCACCTACCATACTACGATACTCGGTAATGTCAGATAAAAGTTCCCCATCTGTGAGAGACAATGTAGTGCGTGAAGGTAGGGGTACGAACAGGCTTCACCGTATGAAGGTGAAAACGACGTAAGAGATTATATATATACCTAGCTTGAGATAAGAACAACCTCGTAGGTGTGCGTTTAGCCTGAATACCCAAAAAATAATGAACCTCCCCCAAATCCTTCATCGCAAATTGATGAGATAGTGTGGTTATAACGGAGAAAAAAATGAAGCAGAAGAGCCGGTAATAAGAATATCATCCACATACAAAAGAATATACATCACCTGAGACGCAGTACGATAAGTGAACATGGATGAGTCAACAAAAAACCATCGAAGCGATGAAACCAAGCTCAGGGAGCTTGTTTCAAACCATAAAGAGCCTTACGGAGGCGACACACATTATTAGGATAGGACAGATGAACAAAGCCCTGAGGTTGGCACATATAAACCTCCTCAGTCAGAACACCATGCAAAAATGCATTTTTCACATCTAACTGACGAACAGACCAGCCCAAAGAAGTGGCTACGGATAAAACAAGACGAACAGTAGTCGCTTTGACAACAGGACTAAAGGTTTCAATAAAGTCAATATCAGCCTGTTGATTAAAACCTTGAGCAACTAAACGAGCTTTATGCCGCTCAACAGACCCATCAGAAAGATATTTTGTCTTATAAATCCACTTATAGCCAACCACATTTTTAGTAGGGTCCCAAGGTACCAAATCCCAAGTCTTATTATTAATCAAAGCATTAAATTCATCTGCCATGGCAGCCCACCAAATAAAACTTTTATTTGTCTGTGTAAAACATGTATGATCATCCGGGGGAGATAAAACACTTAAAGTAAAAATGTTTCTGGGTTTAAAAATACCATCCTTGGCGCGTGTACGCATTGGATGAATATTGATGGGTGGTGGTGGAAGGGAGAGAGCTGCTGTGGATGATGGTGGAGAATGGGAGATGTGGTCACTGGTTGGGGAGGGAGAAGGAGAAACCGTGAGTGGTGTAGTGGGGCTGTTGAGTTGATCGGTAAGAGATGGGGTAATCTGGGAGGGTCGGGCAGTGGGCACCGGGGAAGTAGGTGTGGTGGCAGACGGTGTATGATGCGGGGAGGGCTGGTGTAGTGTGTTGTAGTGCGGTGTGGAGGGGAGTGGTAGGGCTGGTTTGATAGTGGTCGCCGGATAGTGATCGGAGACCGACGAAGAAAGCCAAGATGAGGGCAAGGTAGATGTGGGGGAAGAAGATGTAGTCACCAAGGAAGGATGAGGAAAGATATTTTCATGGAAGAGAACATCCCGACTAACATAAACCCGGCCCGTGGAAGGAGAGAGACATCGATACCCTTTATAATCCGGAGCATACCCAAGAAAGACACAGTGCGTAGAAC